GGAACAATGCAGTTATTAATAAGAAGCATCACTCCTTCATAGTTTTCCTACGAACTTTTCAGCCCACTCTTGTACCTGGAATGAAACAATGCAGTTATTAATAAGAAGAGTTGAAATTAATGCTTTCAAGATTTCACTGTTCTAGCATCATTCCTTCATAGACTATGAACTTTTCAGCCCACTCTCATACCTGGAAAGAAACAATGCAGTTATTAATAAGAAGAATTGAAATTAATACTATGAACTTTTCAGCCCACTCTCATACCTGGAAAGAAACAATGCAGTTATTAATAAGAAGAATTGAAATTAATACTATGAACTTTTCAGCCCACTCTCATACCTGGAAAGAAACAATGCAGTTATTAATAAGAAGAATTGAAATTAATACTATGAACTTTTCAGCCCACTCTCATACCTGGAAAGAAACAATGCAGTTATTAATAAGAAGAATTGAAATTAATACTATGAACTTTTCAGCCCACTCTCATACCTGGAAAGAAACAATGCAGTTATTAATAAGAGGAATTGAAATTAATGCTTTCAAGATTTCACAGCTTTAGCATCACTCCTTCATAGTTTTCCTACGAACTTTTCAGCCCACACTTGTACCTGGAATGAAACAATGCAGTTATTAATAAGAAGAGTGAAATTAATGCTTTCAAGATTTCACTGTTCTAGCATCATTCCTTCAAAGCCTATGAACTTTTCAGCCCACTCTCAAAGAACTCTTTATAAGATTGTTAGATATCATACATGTTCTATACCCAATACTGACATTCAAATAAAAGACAAAACAGTGAGATTACTGCTCGCTGAAGAAGAATAAAATGGAAGATGGATCAAACATTTCAGCAAAGTACTGAATCAGCCAACACCAGAAGAATTGGCAGAGCTTGAAGATAGATTATCTATGCATTGGTTTCAATTATGTATTTTGGCCATGTATTTTGTGGACATCTTCAGATTCACAATTAATTTTACACAATTCATTGATGTGATCAAAAAATTTCAGCCCATCCATTAAATAGGCTGCTTCATTAATACAATGAATTTCCTAGTTTTTTCTTGTTCTCATCTTACTGATGTTTTCAAATTTATTTTCTTTTTTCTAATCACTGTTCAACATTTTGCTAAATTAATGAAGATCATACAAGTAGTGGTTGGTTAATAACAATGTTTAGAAAACATTGGCCAACATAATAAAATCTGACATAGTATCTTAAAGTAAATATCTAACCTCACCAGAATATATACTTTATATCAATCTGTATAGTTTGGCTATAATTTTATTTCATCATGCATAAAACAGAGAAAGATGAAATTCTATCTGTGATAGAAATCTTATTTCTGTGAAAATAAAAGCACCCTGACAAATATATCTCAATGGCTCTGATGTTCTGCACCCAGGAATCATTGGTAGATTCCTATCTTGAGCTTGAAGCAAGACATAATGTTAATATAATAGGAAGATTGATTCTCTCAATGACAGTCATCTAAGCTAATCTTTCCTTTTCCCTAAATGTCATAAAAGCAAAAACTTCAGGTAATTGAATTCTGCTGGTCTCTGCTTTCAGATTTAAATAGCTAATATCTTATCAATCTTATACTGAGCTTATTATATTTTTCCACTTTTGTAACCATAAGTTATTGCAGACGATAATCATTTCAAAATTGTCATGAAATATAGTTCCAGACAGAGTTGACCCAATGTCTACCAAGTGTTTGCATGCAGTAATTTAGAAACCAAAGCAGATTCTGCCAAATTATCCCACAGCAAAATTCAAGTCATACCTTTGATTTTTGTACATAATTTAAACATCTGAATTATTTAAGTAACACATTTCCTGTTGTAGAACATTTATCTCAATGTAGTATGCAATATTAATTATTTATACTGGGAAATTGACTCTCTGTTCCAATTAAATCTGGATTCAAATGTAAATTTTAAATACAAAATCAAAGGCAGCAAGTAAATCCTATTAAGTAAGTCATGCTTAACTTACATTTTATACTTTGTAATCCTAGACATCATGGTCACAAATATTCCATTTCTTGTGTCGTATGATCAGAATGATGTCAGGAAAAGCAAAACAAATGCAGAAAGCCCTATAGCTATATTTATGTAAAATATTTGTTAAGTTCAACACAAAGATTTATTTGAATTGCTAGGGAAACTTGATATTTTTCTACTTGTTAATTATTTCACACCAAGCAAGGCAGGAATGCCAAGAGTACACAGGGATTTAAGGATGTGAAAATGAGAGAAAAGAATGAGCATAGGGGGGATTGAGAAAAGGAAAAAGATTAAATAGGATTCAAGAAGATACAAGATGGAGATTGACATTGCATTTAAATTTCTGACATTATAGGGAAGCAAGTAAACAGAAGGGAGTTCCACAGGTGGGAAGTACAAGAAAATAAACTGTTGGCATAAAAGTGGCAGTTGCACTTAGCTATTTCAACAGTAAACAAGTGAGACCTAGATGCCAATCTAGCAGAACGCTTAAATTCATGTAGTCCAGACACCAGAGATAAAAACTCATCAGAGCAGTTGCCATGAAAACATTTGTTGAAAAAGCAGGAAGGCCACATGACCTCAGTGAGAAAGTGACTGAAGTTGAGATGCCTGGTCAAGATCAATTACATCACAGATCCTTCTTTGGATTTTGTTTGAGATGAAGAGGTGGAGAATGAGATCAAATATGGAAGCAGTATTCAATGCACAGATAAATAGTAGCTGTGCAAGATGGATTCTGACAAGAAAACTTTCTGGCACAACAGAGTGACCCAACATTCCTTACAGTAGATGCAGCAACTGATTTGATATAGTCACTCTACATCAAGTCAGTTGAAAACGTGAGGCCAAGAAGGTGCAGTGTGTTGCTCTCTAGGAGTTTAGTGTCAGCCATGCTGATGGCTGGCAGAAAAACTTCTCTATGGTGGTTAAATGAGATTAATTTTGTTTTGGAGGCATTACAATTTACAAGCCATTTCCTACTCCAGTTAAACACTGATTTGAACCTCCCTTTCAAGGGTAGCAGCCAGGTTTACTTAGTCAGTGCTGACAGATTTGCTATTGAGACAGGAGTGAATGGTAGTGTCATCTGCATAAATACCTACTTGGTAACTGATGACATCAGGAAGATCACTGAAACAGTGTAAGGCCTAGAATAGAGCCTTGGGAGACATTTGCTTATGTGTGAAATGATCTGGAATCCGGCATATTCAAAACGGCCTTCATTTCACAATTTGATACAAACAATTGGAGTAAATCAAACAATCATCCTCTAATACCATAGCCCTCGTGCATGCATAGAAGACCAGCATGCCATATTCTGTCAAACATCTTCAAGATATCTAGAGCCACAGCTCAAGTTTTGCAGTTATTATCAAGAGCTTTCATTAAGATGGATTATACATATGGGTGTTTTATTAAGACGGATCAAAGGCAGTAGTAAATAAATCAGTGTTATTGGTGAAAATTTATTTATTTTTCTATTGGATCATGTTATTTAAATCATGGCAATTACGTGTGAAAAGTAATATCGCCCAAATATTCACCAAATCTGAAAGAAAAAAGAAAATATCATTAGATGCTTAAATTTAATTTACATTTAAAATCAATCCAAATTATTGGAACACCCTATACATATTCAGTAATGGCTGTTAACACATTCAGGAAAGATATTTTAATAATACAGAATATATACTGGGAGCAAACTACTTACATATGGATGGAAACTGAATCATATAAGTACACAAAAATAGAAAAGAGTGTAGGATAAGAATGAATTTTTTAACTGGATTTATTTAACAAATAAAGCAAGGTGATATTTTTTAGTAATGTTCACCTAATGGAAGGTTCAAGAGATACTCAAGGTAAAGGCTTACTGAAGGAGGTTGTTGTATGATTGGTTATAGTGAGTGGTAATTGTAAGTGGTAAGAAGTACAGTTTATAAGGATGTGTGAGAAAGGTTACAGTTAACCATAAATTTTAAAAGGTTAAAATCGCAGTGTTTGCGAAACATTTATCTGTAGAGATATATGGGTTCCTAATAGAATTAGAAGTCCTTGCAAGATTTATTATTTGAGGGCACAATCTTAGCAGCATAAAATACGGAGATGAAGCAAATAACATTGTGTTGGTGGCAGACATAGAAAAAATACTACAGGAACTCCTGGAGAAGGCGGCAAATAAAACAGGAAGAAAGTACTAAGTGCAAAACTTTAGAAGACATAATGTGTGGTTGTGAATAAAAGGAACAGCCCAGTATTCATGCTATGGATTGGAGATTTCAAAATCATGCAACTACAGAAAATTAAATATTTGGGGAATGTTTTAAGTGAAAACAGAAAATATGACACTGAAAATTGTAGGTACATTATAATAGGGAAAGATACATACCAAAAGCTAAACAAAGTATTAACATTTTGTTAGAAACACACATAAAAGTACTGAAATATTATGTAATATCAATCCTCTTGTATAGTAGTGAATACTGGGCAATTTCTTTACAGCTGAAGAAGATACTTGTGATAACAGAGATGAGGTTCTACAGAAGGATGCTGGGAATCCCATGGACTGAGCTTATGAGTAACAAAGCAATTTTAAGGAAAATGAAAGCACATTTATACTTGGAATCAGTAAAAGACATTTTTGGGACTCATTATGTGTCAAAATTCTTCAATCCCTCTCTCCTCCCTATGAAGATGTATAGAATTTGATGCTCACAGGACATATTACTGATTGATTATTTCGTTTTCCATTCAACCATTTACAGGTTATTTAAATCCAGAAAATATTTATTTGACCTAATAATGACTTAGTGATACAAGTCTTACTAATTAACCCATAGCTGGTAGGAGAAGATTGGGGATTCATACCTTTCCCCCAAATATTTGCATGTAAGTGAACATAACAAACCCAACTGGAATTAAAACGTGGCTCTCTGATTAAAAATGCTGAGCCATTATCCATTACACTACCAGCATGTCCAAGCCTACAGCACCTGGATTTCCCAAGTGGTTACTCATCCAGCTAGTCACCAGGCTTGATGTTGCTTAACTTCAGTGATTGTATGGGAACCAATGTTTCAATATGATATGGCATTAAGCTATAGTACATATTAAAGAGAATAGGGAAATAGCAAGTAGCTTTCCTAACAAGCTTGTATAAATGGATGGCAGATCAGAGATTGGGCTTCTTTTCTCCTTCTTCTATGTGCCATTTCCCTTCAGGTCATGGACGATAATGACTCTCCACAACTTCTTACCCTTTGTAGTTCTTAATAAATTTTGTCTTTTGGCTATATCTCCTAATCCCTGTTCTGCCAACTATTCAAACAAACCCATTAAGTTATTCACTGCTTTCTTCTATCCTGTTTGCTTTCAATATATCCTGTGAGTATCTAATTTTCCAAGGCTTCGTTTCTCTTCATGTGTCCAAGAAATTTCAACTATCTATTTATGATTTGAAGTGTCATTGTTTCCATGTTACTTAAAAATTTATCATTACTCATAAGTTCAGTCCATGCTTTATCTTTATCATTCTATAAAAACACATTCCTGTTGCTTCAAGTCTCTTCTTCATCTTAGAGGAGACTGTCCAGAATTCACTGCTATATAGGAGGACTGATATTACATAACAATACAGTACTTTTAAATATAAAAATATATATATATTTTATTTTCATGTTTTTACAACTAAATTTTCTTAGTGTGTATAAGTGTTAAAGTTTGTAGTTGTTTGTTGAAATGTGATTCTTTGCATGTATTTATGAGAAAAAGATGCAAAGGAGAAAGTGAGGAGGTAAGTGTAAGTGTCATGTAGCTTGGAGAGGAAGATGGGTGAATGAGTAAGGGAATTTCTTTTGGCATACACATCGTGAACTGTTATTATATGTTCCCCTTCCTTCTCTTTACTGCTTGTCTGGTTTGAAAATTTGCTTAAATACGCTTCAAAGGGATCATGAAGCATGTCTTTTTATTGTCAGTGGGAAAATGACCCATTGGTTGAAAAATGTTAAATATTTATTTTCAAATGATTAATTTATTAACCAGAAAGATGTGCTAATCCTCCAACTCAGAAACCTATTTTCATTTAGTGCTTGACATTCATGCTCATTATTTCCCTCTTTGCTGCACATATGTGTTTGTTTTAAAATATTGGACTGAAACAAAAGTCTGCAGATTTGACATTTGAATATATGATTTCCTTTTATCTGCATCCAAAGTGGTGGGCATTTTGTAGGTACTGGGATTGCATATTATGATCTACTTCCAAAAAAATCAGGCACTGAATTTAGACAAGTACTGTTGGAATGATAAAAAAATAGAAAATGATGAAAGTCTCTTTAATTGGCCATTATGAAGTGTCTTGTCTTCCATTAGATCTCAATCTGTTTGCAGACTTGGCAGAAATTGGTACAGCATAGGTAGGATATAAAACTATACCAAAAATATATACCTGGCATTGACCCTTCAGAGTAACATTTATTTCACCCTTAAAGGGAAGAACTTCAATTCTCTAGAGTGTGTAAGAAACATTTGTCATAGACTGATTTTTCACTCAGAGAAATATCAAGTTCTGAGTGGATGGAATCATGAAGTTCCCTCAATGATGATGCAAGGCAGTGGAGCAAAATATTACATCGGTAGATGAATAAATTTCTATACAAATATCAAAGTATTGTCTTTGAAATTCACTTTAAAATGTTACAGACTTTTGTTCCAAACCCAATTTTATAAAGATTATAAGTTATTATAAGACAACCCATGACATCTTTGCTCATTTTCAAACATTACAATATCCGTGGTTATTATATTTTATGTATATATTTATATATTAGACACATATATATATATATATATATATATATATATATATATATATATATATATATATATATATATGAAAATAATAATTGAATTGATATATTTAATATATATATATATGTATACATATGATGGACTCTCTGGTTGGTTTCGATGTATGAGGATCTGACAATTGATTCAGTCATGAATTTTGTGTGATAATCTTAAGTGGCACTTATGACCCACTAGTGATTTACAAAAGAGGCTGCATATGGAGCAAGAGTGAGGATTGTTGGATATATATATATATATATATATATATATATATATATATATATATATATATATATTCATAATAATTCATGTGTAAACCTAGAATCCTCAATACACACAGGCAGAAAAGTGCTGGATGGCTGTTTCATCCTTTTTTGGACTCATCAAGTGTGCACATTCTCTACTGACTCTAAGAATCGAACCCAGACAATTACCATATGACACAAGCATCATACCACTGAGCCATATTACAATACTGAACCAATTATTCTATTGTATTCAGTAAGCAATATATATCATCAAAAGAACAAGCTACTGACAAATTCAAATTGGCATGCCTTTCTTTCAGAAAGGCTGACTGTACATGGTAATTACCTTACCAGTAGGACTCTGAGCACTAACTGGTTACAAAAACACCAATCTAACACATTGACATCAAATCTAACATATGATTTTATTTTCTACAAATTCCTGATATTTCAACATCATTCTTTAGATAAACTCATAGAATTAGTTGTACTTCGTGCTATGTACCTTCAAGATGTGGACGATCATGACTCCCCACATTTTCCTGTCCTTTGTAAAATTTGTTTATTTGTTATCTCTCCTATACCCTGCCCTGCCAACCATGTACACAAGCTTGTTAGGTAGGTTGTGCACTCTTTTTCTTTGTTTCTCTTGCCTTCAGTCTGACCTCAAAGTATAAAACTTTCCAAGCCCTCTTTTTTCATTAGATACCTTAGAAAATTCTGAATATCTCTTTTTGATGTTAAGTAAAATTAAATATTATCAGTTATCATTTATTTTTAACATGAATTTCTTTGCATTTTCTTTTCACTTTTCTTTTTATTACATCTCTCAGATTTTTTATGGAGGTTAGGGGAAAAATGTCCAATTAAGATGAAATAAATATTCTTCATACATATAGATAATAACAATCTAATACAAATAAACATATATTTGAAATTTTTTTAATCATTTCCCCCAAGCAAAGAAATAAAGCTACTAAGACACAAGAGTGTCAAAAATATAAGAAAAAGAAAAAGATTAAAAGTACAAGAATTAAGAAGACAGAAGATAGCAATTGACATTGCATTTAAATTTTTGAAAATCTAAGTTGACTTGAAAGCAAGAAATCGGAAGTAAGTTCCACAAGCAAGAAGTGCAATAGAAGAAACTGTTAACATAGGTTGCTCCCATTTTAGTGCTATGCTTAAATTCATAAAGTCTAGGTACCTTAGAGGAATATATATATATATATATATATATATATATATATATATGAAAATAACATAATTTGGCTAGATTGGAGTCAGAATAGAGAACAGATATTTTAAGAAAGTATTTTAAGAAAGTATGTGTATTTAATACACAATTCTAAAAATTGCATGTTTTGAGCAGATAATAATAATATAAAAGATTGAAAAATTCCCAGTTAACATGACCCAGGTGTCAACCTTATGGTCTCATCAGGTGGTCTTTAGTAAATATTTATGAAGAAAGTTGGCTCACTGTGGTGTGCAAGACAATTTTTCTCTCCAGAATCTATCATAAATATCTATAAATTCTTCCATGCTTAGAATATTGCTGCCACATTATGGTCCAGTGTCCCTGTCATTTATCTTGAGTTTCTTGATAAGATCCAAAGAAGAATCTTCCAGATCCATGCTTTCCATCGAACTTTAACCCGGAAAAATTTGAATGCAATATCTCTATTTCTTGTCCTCCTGATTACTCATTTCTCTTCCAGCTAATTATTAATGTTTCTGTTCCTAATTCTTCCACATCCAGTAACCGTTTGTGTCTTAGTGGGTTTACTGCTTTGCTTGAATTGAAATCAATTAAAAAAACAAAAAAACATGTATACACACACACCCATCATATATATATATATATATATATATATATATATATATATATATATATATATATAGAACAGATGAAAGCTTGTAAAATAATAAGAACTTATGCAACAGAGATTTATAAAACAAGGATCTTTTTCATTCATAAACAGGTTTGGGGGTTTTTTATATTATTTGAATTGTTCACAAAGATGGATTTCTCACCAATTAAATCATTAACCTTTGTATTTGTTTTTTGTATGAATAATTCATGAATATATATATATATACACACACATATATATATATATATATATATATATATATATCCACACTGATGAGCTGTGATACAGTTAAACAGTCTTCCTATGGATAACTATATATATATATATATATATATATATATATATATATATATATATCTGTGATAGGATAAAGTTTTGTCAGAGATCAAGATATGACTGATGAAAAATGATAAAAAGCAAAGAGATGCAGAAAAAATGTTATGTTGTGTTTGGTTATTTCTTATTGGTTAGATATGTGTCACGTGTATTGAAGTAACAGATAATATTCAAATATGTGTGAGAAACATTCTGGATGCTAAAGTGTTAAAAGTTAGTGAGACGCAGCAGGACATTTTGAAAAATTTTCTTTTGGTTTTATTTTTCATCAAAGCATATCTCGTGCATATTTTGGATATATCTTCATTAATTTTATGTATTATAAAGAGGTAAGCTAGATTCATGAATAATGGATCTGTACAAAAATGGTGTAGTTTTGTAATAGTTGGTAGTATTGCTATGAATATGTTTTCATAATATTTTTATCTTCTTTTTTTAATTAGGCTGGCACTGGTGAAATTAAAATTATGTCCCATGTTGCTGTGGTGTAAGATGAGAGAATTTGAATGTCTGTCTAATTACAAATCTCTTTTGTGTTGCTGAATACAGTATTTTAGATTGCGTGATGTCTCCCCAATGTACTTGTTAATGCACTGTAGACATTTTATTTGATAAACTCTAGCATTTGAATTGGTGTTTGTTTTATTTTTCATCCTGATTATATCTTCGATAGTCTTTGAGGTAGTGGTAATGATGCTTGTATTAGGGATGACTGATTCATTTGCAAGTTTAGTTGAAGTCTTGGAGGATAGTATTATGAATTTTGCTTAATTTTTTTT